GGGTGAGAAGAATTTCCGGGCTCCTAGTGCTACATCAAGAGCTCCACGTCTCTTCAGCAAGCCACGGCAGCCAACATTGACTTCTCAGCCGCGTGTCCCACAAAATAAACGTAGATATTGCTCAGCTGCTGATTTCCCGCGATAGTTTCATTGGCACAACGAATGTCCGCGCCGCGGCAACGAGTCTGCTATTGAGACTAGTACGGGAAACGAGAAGAGTGACCCAGAGTTTAATTATGACAGTTTGATCCTCTCATCAACGGAAGGCCATTTACTGTCATTCTTAAACAGGTGCAACAATTACTTGTATCAGTGAAGACGTGTATAAACAGCTCAAGCTTCAGTTGATGACAGATTCCAGCATCATGGTGCAGCAAGTTACTTCAAGCATTCTAATTTTGGGTCGCGTAAACATTCAATTGCGAATTGGGGATGTCACAAATAAAGTTTATGTAGATGCTTTGCGAGGCATGCGAACACAATTCTTGGCCTAGACAGCGCTTCGTACTTCAATCTTTCTGTAAAGTTTGAAAGCCAGTCAGTAACAGGAGGACGTGAAAATTTGAACCTACCAAAGTATCAGGAAAAGAAAACCACTAAAGAACCACTGATGAGAACCCTGAGATTAGAAAGGTTACCAGAACATGAATCAGCAGTGCTCGACTCTCTTTTAAATAAGTATGACGAGATCTTCTCGAAATTACAAGCAGATATTGGGTGCATCACTACTGAGCACATATGATTGCACTTACCAATGCTGTTTCTATTCATCGAGCACCCTAGAGATGTTCACAGGTTGACAAAGCGGAAGTTAACGAACAAGTTGACGCCCTCATTAGGTGAAGTGTTGTGAGGCATTCGTTATCCTCCTATGCCGCACCGGTCATCTTAGCAGAAAAGAAAGGTGAAGGACGTATCGTCTACGTATTGACTATCGCAAGCTCAACGCCATAATGGTACCGGACTATCCACCAATTCCACGTATACATGACATTTTGGACCACTTGAACATGGCGAACTTTTTCACTACGCTAGATGTAACGTTTTGATACTGACGACGTTCAAAAAACTGCGTTTGTCATGACTAATGGTCATTATGCGTGGTTGGCAATGCCGTTCGGGTTCAAGAACGCTCCTGCTACATTTCGAAGAGACATGACATAAATAATAGCTAAGCATCAGTTAACTAATGTTACCAATTACTTTGACGATGTGGTCAGACACTCAGAGGCACTTTACGATCACATACGGCACCTTGAGGCACTGTTGAAGACTCTTAGAGACGAGAACGTGAAACTGAAACGCAAAAAGTGTCGATTTGCAAGATACACCATTGAATATTTGGGCCACAAAAATTCACAAGGAATAGTGACACCAAAGCAAAGTAACGCGGCTGCAATACTAATATTTTTGACACTTAAATGACAGGAAGAAAAGACCTCCAGAATTTCCTGGGCTCTGTAAACACTCACCGTCAGTACATTCCTTGTTTCAGCGACGTCACTCTCCCCCTCACGAAACTACTCCCCAAAGAAAGCAAGTGGACGTAGACAGAAGCATGCGAGCAAGCTTTTCAGGAACTGGAGGAGCACATAGCTGAAGAACTGGTGCTTCGCATACATCACACTTCGAGACCATGTATTGTGTACTGTGATGCATCTGGCGAAGGCATTGGTGCAGTGCTGAAGCAACCTGACGACAAAGTCAAGGAACACCTCGTTGCCTATATTAGTCCTGCAAGGTACTTAATCACGAGGTCAACTATGCTGTTAGAGAAAGAGAATGTCGTGCTTGCCATTATTGATTGGATTGGATAAACTTTTATTGCCATTATTGATGCCATTGATAAATTACATTGCTACCGTCATAGAAAGCCATTCAGTGTTGAATCACTCTGCACTACAGTGGCTGAAGAATATTGAGAATCCTCAAGATCGTCTCTTCTGGTGGTCGTTGAAACTATTGATGTAAGAAGTAAACATCAAGCATCCAAAATTCATAAGCAACGTCAAAGCAAATGCACTCTCCGGAGCCCCGATAGCTCAACTACATGTCCCACGATGACGATGCAGCAATGAGCATCGATGCAACAATGGGTGTCCAAAAGGAACGCATTCATTGGAAAACAACGTAGTCATCGTCAAACTAAAAGGACTAAGGAAAATATCTGTGCCTCATGAACTACGCCCAACTATTCTTAAAAACGCACACCAACATTTTAGGCATGTCAGAGTGAAGAAGATGCTATCACTCTCGTCGCAGCAATATTATTGGCCGGATATGATAACCGATGTTACCACTTACGTTCGGCATTCCAGATATACTAGAAGACGAAAACAACGAAGTATGGCACACTTGTATCTCGGCCTTCTGCTAAAGAGACTTTGGCCTATTTGCGATGAACACCATTGGGGAATTCTATGAATATGGCTTATGAAAAATGTTTATCCACTTGAATGTTGACCATGCCACTTGCTACGTATGGGCGTTAGCCCATAAAGTGAAAAAAGCGACGCCTACATCTCATGCTTAAAAACAATTTTTATTGCCGGAAAACCACGAAAGTTCTTTTCAGATTGCGGAACAGGATTCACTGCCGGAAAATTTAAACAGTTTAAGAAACATAACCGAATACACCCCCTCTTCACCTCATCTCATCATCCGCAATGCAATGGTATGAACGAGCGGGCAAAGCAGACCATCGTAACCACACTTAAGTGCAAGATTAATGACGAGCCACAGAAGCGTTAGACTAAGCTGCTGTTGCAGGTAATAGACGAGTAAAACAGAACGCCTCACGAAGTTATCGCCTACGCACCGCCCTTCCTGATGTGTGAGATTATATCTTATTCAACTATACTCAAACAGCGAGAACAAACGGTGGAAGAAGCGAGGAAAGAACTGCTGTTAATTCAGTCGCCAATCACAACAAGAGCAGAGTAATACATGATAAGAAATTTCTTCCTATTGAGTTCCAAGTCGGTGGCTTCGTCTTTTACGAGACACCGTGGCATCCCAACAACGGCAAACTGAGTTCTGTTATAAAAGGTCCCTACAAGATTCTACGCAAAGGCTCACTAGTGGACAATCAGATTAACCACTCTGTGTTGTCCTTAGGCAGAATGTCAGACATTGTTGATGTTGGCAAACTACGACTTTATTTTGTACATTCTGAACAGGGACGCTTTCGAGGGGAGGAGGAACAGTGTAACGTATGAACAAGGTGGTGGTAGGAGAAGCCGAAGAAGTGTGTTTGTGTGTGTGTGTGTGTGTGTGTGTGTGTGTGTGTGTGTGTGTGTGTGTGTGTGTGTGTGTGTGTGTGTGTGTGTGTGTGGTGTGTGTGTGTGTGTGTGTGTGTGTGTGTGTGTGTGTGTGTGTGTGTGTGTGTGTGTGTGTGTGTGTGTGTGTGTGTGTGTGTGTGTGTGTGTGTGTGTGTTTCAGACAAGAACGAGGCGGCGCAGGGAGCACTGCCACCTAAATCACGTGGTAACGAGCGGAAAGCCAGGGCGCTGAATGCCTCATTGCGGTTATACCATGACGTGTGATACATACATAGTTGAATATAAAAACAGTGCAAGAGACGAAGACTGACGAGTCAATTCTGTCCTACCAACTTGCTCAAGTTTGCATGTTTTATAGATGTGGTTGGTCACGGGTGTTCGAAAAGGTGTAGTCGCCATGCATAATCGCGCTGTTGACAACTCGGGCTTCAGCAGCTGCGCAAAATTTCTTTCGTTTACCGGTGAAAAAAAGTATCGTCGCAAGAGCGTGCTGGTGATGGCGGTTTTAGTTAGGGACGGGCGCAGGGCATGTTTTGAGCTAATTAAGGCACGAAGGTTTTGCAATGAGGTCGCAATGTGGAATAAGTACAGGGTGGCGAAAATTGCAGCTTTTACGCTGTTCTTACGCATAATAAGAACACAATTTACGAATTAACCGAGAAAATGAAATATTATTGATGTAACAGACTTTTGTTTGTTGTTTTCTTGACACATTTGATAATTAGTAATTTGCTTAATTCGGACTTTTTCGAGTCCTTCTTAAATCTTAATAAACAGGGTTTTTTTCTATATATACAGGGAGGTGAAGCTTCTCATGGTTGGCGCATATCCATAATTAGCACACCACGACGAGGTTTTTAGCCGAAGCATTTATTTAGACTGTCTGCGTAATTTGGCGCGACGTCTCGCCGAATCTCGCCAAGCCTGGCCAGTCTTTCTGTTCACTGTAAAAAGTGCCTAACAAATGACGCTTGTTTTGAATTAGGCTCATTTTTACGAACTCCACAGGCGCTTCCTCCACCTGAGTCTTCTCGATGCACAACTGTAGGACTAGGCTACGCAATAAAATCACTCCCTATATCTAAATATCCTGAGCGCAATAAGTATGTCCATGAACGACCATAATTCTTTAATCATGCTAATTAAGTGGCGACCAAACTTTCTGCATTATTGGCCCACGCAACTAATCCAAATATCGCTCCACGACCTTATAACAACGTCTGTGCAGAAACATGACCAGACATTGTCTGACTTTAGAAACCTTACAGTGGAACTTTCATTATACCCACAGAAGATTTTACCTGCCAGACACGCGTCACTGTATGGCACAACAGCGATTTCCGTGATTATTTGCAGCATCATAATCAAAAGTGTATATGTCTTGCAAATGCACGCCAGCTGCAGTTCATCTGTTATACTACACCACAGAGTAATTAGCTGATAATGAGCACAGAAACTTCAGAAATTTCCAACGAGTACAGAAACTTCAAATGTATGAACTGACGCCGTACTTGACGCATTACTTTTTATTTGCATCAATTTTTTGAAAAAGTGTGTGTGTGTGTGTGTGCCTGCGTGCGTGTGCGTTTGTGTGCTTGTTTTTTGTAAGTTGTTTTTTTCTTAAACTTTAGTGTGTGTTTATTAACACACAAAGCTGATTGTACTGGGTATGTTTGCAATACACTGTATGCAATGTTAAAGCTTTACCTTTGCACCCAGGCCACCAAAAGCACCGAAACCGCTCAGAAGAAAGCTCCGTCCGGCAGCCAGGAACAATGATTTGGGTGAAGCCTCCTCTGCAGCAAGAGACAGCAAACACAGCAAGCACATTATTCCCTTGAACGCTCATCCCAGCACCGTGGTCATTCAACCATGGGATTCACACGGCGCCGGTCCTCGTATCGGCTTCTGTGCTATCAAGGGGCGTGTGCAACTTATGGATGAAGACCTCTGCGGTTCTCCAGTTAAGGGAGGCACTTGTGGCAGCAATGAGGAAAAGCCCCGTCACGTGTTTCCCGTTGCAAGAAGAGCTGCCATTAGCGTGAACGCAGCTTCTAAAGGCGCAACGGCAACAGCAGTCAAATCTCGTAAGCTTCGCCCATCGTGCTTGCCCGTCAAAGGCGTTCCCATCCAAGAAAGGTGAGACGTAGCATTACTCATTGGTGTTTTACCCACTTTACAGCCAAATGTCAGTTGTTACATTGACAGGCTCATACCTTGCAGTTATAGCAGTAAATCGTGTAACAATCATCTTGCAGTCATTTGGCATATTATCTGTAAATATTTGTTGTAACAATTACAGCAAACATGTTGAAACGAACATAGTGCGATGAGAGCGTTCGTTTCGACTAGAGCCGCTCACGTCTCATTCTCCGTGCGGCACTCCGTCATTCTTCATCGCATTATGTACTTAGGCTAAAACACTCCGCACAACATCTGTCAAATCGTTATCTCTCGCAGCGGGATTTCTAGCGATGCTATAGTTCAAGATCCATTCCGGACCTATTATACTTAGTACCACATCCGCTGAACCAGAGTATGGTAAGCTGAAGTTTATTTCAGGAAAAATAACGAGAAAGATGCACAAACTGGCGAGAAGACCAAAAAAAAAAAAAAAGAAAAGACCTGTCAAGGCGCCTACCCTCCCTACCCCAGAAATTCCACAAAAAAGTAGCTCTGCTACCCGTTCTACCTAGCTCTCAGCTGTATGCTATGATATCAGCATTAACAATGTGGTGAGTGCACAGAAAAGTATTTCCTAGCATGTTTATGTAACGAAGATGGCTAATATTGGCGCCACCCCACTTAAGGACAACTATAGAATAGCAAACGACTGGACGCTCCTGGATGTCTGAACGTTGCGGAGCTAATACAAGGTCTCTAAGCATGCTGTGCATATGCTGCTCCAGGAGCATCACGAGATAGCGCAAGCGGAATGCTGATCTCGTAAAGACACGAGGAAGCCGACATGACGGCAAAGTGCGCGAGCCCGAAACTTAATCTTATCAACAGGGGGAACGAGTGGTTCGTTTGATAATCGATATTGAAAGCGGCTGCCGAAAGAGGAACAATGTTTGAGCTACAGGGACACACGCAAATTTTGGGTAGAAAAGTAATCGAAGTTTTATGTGTGACCCTGCTATTCGTACATTGTTTCTGTGCTGTTGCCTCTTTCATCAGTCCGAAATTTAACGTCAGTTTTCACTTTTTCCTGCTGCTGCAAGTACCCGCTGCTGGCCTCTTTCGAGTATACTGCTGTGGAGCGATCTACATAATTGGAGGGATAATAAGGCGTATAGCCGCATAGCACAATACGCCATTTCAAAGGACGTCAGTGTAACAGTACTAGCTTAATATCAAGGCAGTACTCAAGGTATCGCCGACGTCTTTGCAATTCTAAACTTATTGCACACTAGGTCAATTTAAATATATGGCCTCTTTAGGATTTCACCATATTAACAGCGAAGTTAGTGATTCATAAGGTGTCAACCCTGCCCCTCCCATCATCATAAACGGATTGATTGATATGTAGGGTTTAACGTCCCAAAAGCACCATATGATTACGAAAGACACCGTAGTGGAGAGCACCGGAAATTTCTACCACCTTAGGTTGTTCAACGTGCACCCATATCTGAGCACACGGGCCTACAGCATTTTCGTCTCCATCGAAAATGCAGCCGTCGCCACAGCCAGGATTCAATCCCACGACCTGCGGGTCAGCAGCCGAGTACCTTAGACCACCACGGCGGGGCAGATCATAAACGGGTACGTGCCACAGAATGTGGGCAAACCTCATTACTCGCCATTCTAACAATCTTCATAACCTACCTACAAGTATAAACTGCCACGCTTCAAAGTTGCATTAATCACCGCAACGGCGTGGCCTGTGATAACACTGATAGATGAGAGAACGAGTACGCACAGAAAGAGAGGCGGGATGCAAACCCACTTACCCTAAATCAGTAGGCGAGCATCCTGACTACTCGGCTAGCCAGGTACGCTGGCAGAGCAGGGCATAGCCTTGTGTAGTACACTGCAGCAAGGTGGTGGGAACCGGAAATCGGCGTGAAGAGGAGAGATGTGATTAGGAGAAAAAGGAAGGGGGAGAGAAAATGTAGCACATGAAAAATTTTAAAAATGCAGAAATGAAAAGATAGAGAGCCAAAGAGAACAATAACCGAAAAGAGAAAGAAGTATAAAGATATATAAAAGCCAAGCCCACTTAGTGCAGATATAAAATTTTTAGCCGTGTGCCAGACGTCTTCACGTTGTTTTTTATATAGGCAGCTTTAACACGGCGTTTCACCGACCGCTGTGTCCAGACTAATAATTCTACCTTGGCTTCCCAGTGACTCCTTGTTGCATTTGTTTTTCATGAAGGATTGCAGCTTGTGCTGTAAGTCCGTCCTACGAGCTGCGCGTTCTGCTTGACTTTTCCGCTGGCAGTGCGTGCATCTATCCAATCGTCAAACGTTAGACTGTCATCGTGCTTCTGGCAATTCAATACGTCGTCTGTTTGTATACTTGGTGAGATTATGCGCTTCCTGGCTTAATTATTGCTGCAGAAGTCGTGGAAGTCTGGCTCTAATATTACTTGTGGAGACCTTCAACAACGCCTACAAACAACAACGCTGCGACCTTCAACAACGCCTACAAACGCCGCCCATCCTTGGTCACTTCGACACCGAAGCAGACACAGAAGTCCGCACTGACGCGAGCAACCTTGGCCTCGAAGCTATTCTCGTGCAATATCAAGATGGCGTGGAACGCTTCATCGCCTACGCTAGCCGCACGTTGTCATCTGCGGAGAAGAACTACTCGACGACTGAAAAAGAATGTCTAGTGGTTGTATGGGCCATTACGAAATTCAGGCCCTACTTGTACGGACGCCCCTTCCGAATCGTCAGTGACCACCACTCTCTCTGCTGGCTAGCGAATCTGAAAGATCCTTCGGGCCGTCTCGCAAGATGGAGCCTTCGGTTACAGGAATTTGATATAACGATGGTTCACAAGTCTGGCCAGAAACACGCGACGCTGACTGTCTTTCCCGCGCACCCGTCGAGATCGCTGCAGAAGACAAGGATGAAGACTTCAGCTGCCTTGGTTTTCTCGCATCATTAAACGTGGCTGAGCAGTAACGCGAAGACTCAGAACTACAACCACTGATAGAATACCTTGAGGGACGTCGCCCACAAACACCACGTAAATTTTCACGTGATTTGTCATCTTTCTGTCAACGCCAAGACATCGTCTACAAGCGCAACTTTCATCCAACGAAAACTGTTTACCTGCTCGTCGTTCCTGCTGCTCTCCGCGATGATATTTTGCGTGCTTGTCACGACGAGCCATCGTCAGGGCATCTTGGCTTCGCCCGTACTCTGGCGCAGATCAAGGACAAATACTACTGGCGGAAACTTACGAAAACCGTCCGGTAGTACGTCAAGACATGCACAGCCTGCCAGCGCCGCAAAAATCCAACGACGAAACCAGCCGGTCTGCTTCAGTCTTTGCGGCCCCTTAACGCACCTTTTGAAAAGGTCGGGATGGGTTTACTCGGCCCATTTCCGAAGTCTAAGGCTGGTAACCGCTGGATTGTGGTTGCCACCGACTACTTGACCAGATACTGCGAAACACAAGCCGCCCAGTGAGCAACTGCTTCCGATGTGGTTGACTTTTTTATCAAGAACATCATTCTCCGCCATGGTGCTCCCGCTGTAGTCATCAGAGATCGTGGTACTGCCTTTACGGCACAGTTGCTTCGAAAGATCCTGTTGCTCAGCGGCACGACGCACCGAACAGCAACTGCGTACCACCCGCAGACTAACGGGCTAACCGAACGCCTTAACAAAACGATTGCAGATATGCTTTCGATGTATGTCGCCAAGGATCAGAAGAATTGGGACGAAATCCATATAACATTTGCCTACAATATGGCTCTGCAGGAAACCACCGGCTTTGCTCCTTTTTGTCTGGTTTACGGCCGCGACGTCACCACAATACTTGACACCATGCTGCAGCCAACTCTGCCGGACATGGTTACCCCGGACGCCGATGTATTTGTTCAGCGTGCCAAAGACGCCCGGCAGCTAGCACGCTTTCGCATTTTATCGCGGCAAAATCAAGATGCTCGACGGTACAACATCCACCACAGAGCAGTACTATACGAACCCGGTGACCTTGTCTGGGTTTGGACTCCTATACGTCAACGTGGACGCTCGGAAAAATTGTTATGTCGGTACTTCGGACCCTGCCGAGTTCTTCATCTCATCGGGGAAGTTAACTACGAAGTTGTCCCAGCAGACACATCGCACCATTCTCGTAGACCACGTTCCTCGGGTGTGGTTCACGTCTCCAGGATGAAGCATTACTATTCGCGTTGAGTCAAGAACTTTGTCATGTGGCACTTTCCTTCAAGACAATTGTATATTTCTTTCTCGCGTCTTTTTTGCCCATCTCTTTTTTTCATCTCAATGGACACAGACATTTTTTACTACCTTTTGTTGTTTTTCGGAGGAGCCACGGCAATCATGCGATGCTTCCTCTTCTTTTTTTTGGGGGGGGGGAGGGGGAGGGTAATGCCGCGCTGGGTTAGTGGTAGAAGAGGAGAACGAAGAAGTGAATGGCAGCTAGCTGTGGCTTAGTAAACAGTCGTCCACTTCGAGCTTCGAGGCCCTGTCTATCGTTTCGTCTCGCGACAATATATATATATATATATATATATATATATATATATATATATATATATATATATATATATATATATATATATATATATATATATATATATATATATATATATATATATATATATATATATATATATTGGCGTAGTTCATAGTGTAGCTGCCATGAACTTTTTTTTCTGGTGATAACGCACAGCGAATCTGAGCCTGGAATTCCCGCATTTCGCCTTGTATACATTGGCTATATGGCCTTTTTTCGTGGTACTAGTTGCTAACACAAGGCGGAGAGTGTGTCGGCCACAAAGTAGCGCGCACACGTTGCATGCAGTTCCGTCCACCTCGGAGGAACAGTGTCTACGTTTCTCGGCTGCTGGCACAAAGGTCGCCGTTTTGATCCCGGCCGCGGCGGTTGCATTTCGATTTAGGCGAAATGGTAGAGGCCCATGTACTGTGCGATGTCAGTGCGCGTCAAAGAACAGCAGAGGGTAGAAATTTCTGGAGCCCTCCACAACGGCGTCTCTCATAATCATACCTGTGGCAATGTGCCACAGGTATGCGGTGATGGGTAAGTGCCGCAGATTATTGACAATTTACACCTACCCAGCCAAGGCGAGAACCGAGATGAGTTAATTTTAACGCGGGAGTGTTGATGGGGAACTCTGGTGCATTTTCTACCATGCTGAGATAATGCCGTTTTCAATTAGTTTTGACACTCCTGCAACAGCTAGGGTGGTTCATTATGCCCAGATACTCGTCAATTATTAAGCGATGAACGATAAGTCAAAACAGAAACCGAAACAGGGAGCTGCTTCATCCTCCATGGTGGGTATCGGATTACGTCACGAAAATCTTTCTTCGATGCCGACTAGCCAGGGTGTAAACATAACTAGTATGCCTCTTCTGAAGCGTGAAAAGCAAATTGGCGATGTCATCAAGCGCGGAATCAAGCTGTACCAGCTTGTCTGAACTTACTAGTGACAAGTTCAGCGGTGATTGCGGCCACTACCTGAGTGCGGAAGCATCGCTTTTTTATTTCAACCCGCCGGTGCACCAAGCATCTGACGTGCCCCGAATCGATCTATTCGTTGCTCAATACTGTAAGACCCGACGTCAACGATGACTAACACGCTGTATGCGGCGGACAAAACTGAACTCACGTCGTCCTCGCCTAGTTGAAGAAAACGCGTGCTGCATCCGTCTGCCTGGAAAGGCAGAGTTTTTGAGAGAAAGTAGGTACCTACGTCACGTACACAGGGTGGCCCGCGTTTACAAGCGGGATTCCTAAATCAGCTACCAATTTCAAAATTCGTTTTCGAAAAACTAAACGACTCACGGTTGTAGAATTTGGCACATATCACCACGGTACCAATGAGAACACATGTTGAATTTTTTATTGAAATCGATGAATATCGAAAGAACGCCGAAGTTTAAACAAAAAGCTGACATCGGCAGCGTTGACCCGACGAATACAAATAATAAATGCCAAAATCTCAGCAGCAATAGAACCCCAAGATATTGCGTCACAATCAAGTATTCTCCCACAGAGCTAAGCCAGTTGTCGAAACTACTTTTCAAATAGACCTTAATGTTCATGAAACGTGCATTGCGGTTACAGTACTGGCTATCCAATTTTATATACATTACATATACAGTCGTCACGTCATGTTAACGTCAATTGTATTTAGGTTGTCATCTGCTGTTGACTTATGTGGCAGTGTCCAGGGCTGCCATCCTCGCGAGCACCAGCACTTCAGATAAGCTTACCCTTGCTGGTGTTGCTAATATTCATGTCGAGGTTGGCATCGTTACGCAGCAGTAAACGAGTTGTTATATAAAACCTACGCGGCTGTTTAACATGTATGTGCGTACATTTGTACAGATATCTTTAGCGCCATTTCGTAACGTTTAGCTCAGTGAAAAAATTACAACACTGTCACTTTCCATCCGCATGCTTCGCACATTGATTCCCAAGTTATACGTGGGACCTGCCAAATTTTTATTCTATGTTATCATCATGAATCTCATCATGAATAGTACTAATGACATGAATAGACATGAATAGTACTAATTGCAGCATAATACATTCTACGCATAGTTGTGACGCATTACATTTGGCAGGTTCCACAGTAACTACCGGCGTTCGTGAGTATTCCAGCATGACGGCAAGATCCTCGAGCCGCCTGACTTGCATCGACACATTGTTGGTCCCGCAGACAATGTTGTCCCTAAGCAATTTATCGAAAAACGTCCTATAGCCCCCTTCGTGGATACGAGAGTTGGGTTCGAAGCAACTTACCTAAACTTGCCGGGAATATTGACGGAGTATTTTTCAGAACTTTTTCCGGCACAAGAAGACTGCGTAGTATAGAGTGCGTTCTTGAACTACCACCACTCGGAAAGACGACGCGACATTTTTTCCACTCGCATGTAGATGACGTCCAATGATAGTTCCATCTGTTCCAAGTATTCTTGCCATATGTGGGGCTGAAATGGGTTTCTAAAGCTTCTAAAATAGACAGTAAATTGACCCACCTTGCAATCACCCATTTATACTTGTCATGAAAACTTAATTACCCCCAAAAGAAACACATACCACGGATTGTTCGTTCATATTTTGTGAAATTTTTACCAGCGGTCTGGCGCAAGCACCACTGTCGTTCATATATCCTACGAACGACTACCTTTCAGTCTTTGCTCTAGTTTTTAGTGTTTACTATACAGTGATCAAAATTCTTCTAAAAGACGTAAGCGCCGATTTTCGCACACAAGGGTCAACACGCAATACACAACTGTCTGTCCCCTGACTGCAGGAAGAATTACTGCCGGAGGCAATGACACTGACGCACTAGATGACGCATACAAAAAGAGCGCTATGTGTCGCATCATCCAGCGGTCTTTCCCGACATGTTCGGAGTGAGGGCTTATATTAGTTTTGACAGATGATGGGCTGCAGGTGCAACCGAATTTCCCAACGTGCTTCTAAGCAAAAAGCGCTAGACATTAGAACACCCGAATTCTCTTTTTTTCTCTCTCTCTTTCACGTCATTCTTCGGTCATTTTTTCGACATGAATATTCTTTTTATGATGAAGTTTGATGCAAGAAAGTGAGATACAGCACGTGCACTTTTCCCCAACAATGAGGACAAAGGAAAGTGCGTCGTAAATTGGTAGCACTAATTATATTAGCGCTATAGACCAAGTCACCTCATAACGGCTCTGCAGAAGTAGTAAAAACGAATTGCGTTTTTGTTGCGTGTCTAATGTGTGTTCATGTTCTGTTCGAAATCGAGGATTGCTTTTACAATAGCGAAATGCAAGAGAAAATGGATACAAGTAAGCTATACTGCACGTAAATATTCGTAATATTTGCACAGTTTATAGGCAAATCCTCATCCCAAGATTCTTAGTTGAGTCATTTACTTGCGTTCACATTGCAGGCTGCTGGAGCCAACTGAAAGAACGACAAGGAGCGTGGGTGCGGGCACCGTACCCACGGTCGTTCGACGAAAAGAGAACAGCGCAAGAAGGCTCTCCAAATGCGAGATCGTTGCGCAGTGCACTGCGGGTGACATGCCGTTGACTGACCCAGACTGCGGAGTTTCACTCCCACGGATTCGAGCAACAACTGGCAGGCGTAGAAACGACGAGTGTACTTTTAAGTCGCAGCCGTTCAACAATCGTGAACCACGAGGCAGGTCTTCGGACTATCGGGCCACCGAAGTAGCTTTTATGTCACCGCGATACAAGCAGAAAGAAAATGAAGTTTACGACATTTTTTCTCCCAAGTTAGCGGGGCCTTCGTGGAGCACCACAGCGGAAGCCAGCACCTCCTTGGAACGCAACCTGGAGAATTCGGTACGCGAGGTCCATGCGCAGCGCGGTGATGAGAAGATCGCCAACCTACCTTGTGCCGACTCCTCTGCAAAGGAAACGCCCGCGTCAACGGTCAGTGACAACAGCCTTCTTGAAACGACAGTCTCCGGTAACCTTACGAGAGGTTCCGGCAATTCTCAACAACTCAAGAAGGATCTCCTAGTTTTCCACGTCATCATTCTTGTTGCTGTCACAGGGGCTGCCGCACTGGCGATTGCCTTCTACCCAGGAGCAGTGAAATCGAGCTCTGGATTTCCCTTAATTATCGAGCGTGGTTTTCCTGCTTCGGTCTCTTCGACGACCTCGTCAACGTCAACAAAGCATCCAATGGATGCGCCAGAACACGTCGTACACCGAGAGCCACTGTACGACGTCTGTTCTACAGAGACATGTCAAAAAGACGGCGCCTACCTTGGCGCCTTAATTTCCAAAAACATGGACCCGTGCGACGACTTTTACAAGTTTGTCTGCAGTCGCTGGAAAGGTGCCAATGGCTCCACTAGCCCTGATGACGAATTGGTCCAGAAGCTCGAGAGTGACATTTACCACGTCCTTTCATCACCACTGTCTCTCAGCGTTCAAGACTCTGACGTCCTATCCCCACTCAAGCGTGTAATGACTGCGTGTATGAATGGCGTGAACAGGACCAATGTTGACCCTGTTCTTGACTTACTGGCAGCCGCTGACCTCGAAGGCTTCCCTTTTACTCCACCTGTGCGCAGCAGTATTTCGCCATGGAAGACTGCCGCCAAGGTTTTTCTTCTGACGGGCACATCGGCGCTTCTTCGACTTGGAGTGGCCTTGCATCCTTTTGAGCCTGACATAGACATAATCACTGTCGAAGTACCCGAACCCTTGATTGTAGGCCCTGAAAAAACGACCTCTGCTTACAGAAGACTTATGCAAGCGTCGATGAATGCACTCGGCAAGCGTTTCGTGCCTTCATCCTACGCCATGGAGGTAGTCGCGTTCACACAACAGCTTGATGCAGCAATCGCTTCTGGAGAGTCGCAGAGCCGAGATGAACGTTCACATCGGGTCGTAAAACTGAAGGAAGAGAACGAGCTCCAGGTATACTTGCTTGAAGTTTTTGGTGACTTGCAGCTTCCTCCGGAGGAAGAAGATCGCGATTTGATGCTCCTTTCGCCCGATTTTTCAAGAGCTCTCGTGCATCTAATACGCAAGACGGATGTCCACGTCATTCTCAATTTTCTTTGCGTGCACGTGCTTGTGAGATCTTCAGTTTTCGTCTCTATGGCTGACCAAGATTTAGAATGGGCTGTGTCGGCTCAGCTTTTCAACCGTCCAGTCCGGCACGTGCAGCGGTGGAGGCTTTGCGTCCGCGCCGCTGCGCAAGCGCTACCAGACTTGTTCCTTTATGCTACTCATCTGGTAGTGAAAACGGCAGACAGTACGATCAGTGGGCTTCTCGACAACGTGCTAAAGCAAGTGATTACACATGTGGAGTCTCTAATATTCTTGGACGGCCAAACTCGCGTGTTGGCGAAGAGAATTCTGTCCGACGTTCGCTTCCTTGTGGGCCTACCACACTGGCTTAGCGACATGTCTAAACTATCCTCATTTGTCGCGAAGCTTCCCTTGTTTAATAATCGGAGCAACTTTTTGAAGTGGCTCTCTGAAGTGAACGAAATGGTACAAACTTCGACACTTCGTCGTAGCTCAAGGGAATTTTGGCGAGCTTCGCCTTTTGAGACTGATTGTTGGTATGATCTCCAGCTGAAGACTGTGTACATTCCTGTCTTACTAGCCAACTGGACTCGTTATAGAGTTGACGAGTTGGGCTACTTGCAGTTACCACGACAAGGTCATCGTGCGGCTCGATGCGTACTGAAGATGCTTTTCGAAGGTGTGTCGTCATTCTTTAACCGTGAAATACTCACACGCAGCTTTTGGTCGTCGTCAGCGAAGACATCACTCCGTCGCGCACAGCTGTGCCTGCAAGAGCATGCCCGTGTTCCGGCATCAATGTCTCTATCGCTTCTGGAAGACCACACGGCGCTAAAAGTTATCCAAGAGCTCTACCAAGGAAACGTTCACCTCGTTGGCGCAGCCACGGCATCCGGGGCAATTCGTGATGTTCGCTTGCCAGGTGCTGAAGATTTTACAGCGGACCACTTGTTTTTTATTTACTACTCTCTCGACTTCTGTAACAGCGACCTTCGCGAGGAAGAGCTCGAAGATCGGGCACGCCTTGTGAATATCCCTCTTCGAGGCTCACTTATGTTTCACGAAGTCTATGGCTGCCGACCTACGTCCAAGATGGGTCCGTTGGATAAGTGCACAGCCTGGGTTTCGGCCGCTAAACAAAGTGGTTCCATGATATCCTGATGTCTTTAATCTGTTGTTGACGGACATCACCTTTCGAATTGTAGTATGTCGCTTCTTACGCTAAGACCACACGTCATTATTCGAATTTGAATGCTGCAAGGTCTTGTCGACTTCTTCGTGGTGCGGAGAGCACTATGATGGAAGCGCATGTATGATGCGCAGGTGCTAGACAACATGGCGCAGGCGTACTATTAACGCGAGTGCCTCCAATCAAGTGTTATATCAACATTATTTGAAGAACTTATCTTTTCTCATTAAAGTGATCTGATGTTCGCAGCTGTTTTGTTATGTGGTATCACTGAATAATTTAGCTGTTTCGATAAGTATCTGGTCACTATTTATGCGTAGAGTATGGCTGCAAACAGAGAGCAACCTAAATTAAACATTTTTTATATTCCCTTGTTTATAAGCAGCAGAAAAGTTGCTCGCGATTGTCCAATCTTGCAATGATAACGCGGAAAATGTCGCTGAAATTTTCGTCCGAATGGTACGATTTGCAGTCAGGTGTTTTGAAATAGTGCGCTGGAAAGATACTAAAACAATAATAAATGAATGTGACAGCAAGCTGCTGCCCATTTCGTTATCAAGCCGAGGTTCATGGGATGATATTTGGTGTCTTCCAGGTTGAACACAAACTTTAACACCTACAAAGTCACTCGTATACACCAACTTAAAATAAAGGTTCACTGCTTATTCAGTTACCATCTTAAACACCACGAAGCCCGTACCCCTCGTTAGCGTAAACTTAAAACTCTTTAATACCCACAGATTAAAGCGCGAAAACATAGATAATCTAAACTCTGAGATTTTCAACTGAGATGGTGCACTTGGCAAATCAGTTATCTTGCGAAACCCAAAAACGCGGTGAAAAGCCATAGAAGAGGGACTGTCATCAACAGGGTTCAGCACGAACCATTTTTAATAATGCAAAGAAACTCTTCAGCCATTGCACTGATTTAGCGCGTGCACCTTTGAATTGATTCCACCTCGATTTGCGTGGGCCAGAGTGCTGCGATCAGGTTATGTATTTATTTATTTTGCTAATTAAGTCATTTTTATTGAGTTATTTTATCTATTAACCATGTCGGTTTCCCAATTTATGCGGCTAGACGTTTTTCGTTAGGCTGGGCATTTGTTAACTCATCAGAAAACTTATTGCGGAGTAACAATACGTCCACACTTTTAACGCGATAGTATTAAAAAGCTCGTTCCGCAGAAATTTCGGTGTCGGCATCGTTGGTTGTGAGCGAAAAGTCATCTTATGCGTGACCGATAGATGTGGAATGATTCAAATAAAATATTATGAAAGTCCTGGGTCAGAGTGGGGATCGAACCCGGGTTGTTTGCGAGGCATGAGTCGGCTTGTTAATAAAGTGCAAATACTTTCCTCTGCTTGAAAATGCAGTGAAGGTAACTTTCATGCTTTACAAACAAGCACGTCCTGTACACATGCTCCCCAATGCAACATTAGATATTGCCGTAATAATGCGTGGTACAAGCGTTCATTGCCATCGGGCGTCAGAACGTGGGATTATCTTAATGTCTTCATAGTTTAAAGCCAGTCACCCCATACAAAAGGCACACATGCTACTGCACCCACAAAGCCCCGTAGTGGGTGAATAGCAAGCAAGAAAAGATTTCATACACTAAGTGTTTGAAGTACGCACTAAAAACAGAACTTTTAAATTTTCACTTTCAAGATCATCGCAGTCACGTCAACCAATTCGCCTATCTCACCAGCTGCCCTTTGAGCTCAGTCTGAATGGACATGGTCGTTTTTGAATGCGGAGCATTTCTTTGCGTACTGCAGGCCATTTTGCGTGTATCTGTCTATATAGCTCTGGGTGCTCTCGTGATCATCTCGTTAACGTAGGGAGAAGCGAAATTAGTATCGGAGTGTAAGACGGTTCGACGAATATGACTGTCTGGTTATGACATGAATAATGTTACAAACCTGTCGTTTACCTCGTAAAACCTTTTCAGCCAGACGCGTGAGACACATAGCTGTATACTACGGGCGGGTATGTGCCACAGGTATGCGGGTATGTGCCACAAGTGTTTGACAGTTTGTGTCTATACTGAGGAACAGCGAGAGCAGACATTGGTAATATAGATGCGAGAGCATGAGGAGAAACTGACATAGACAGCGTTGACCTGATAATAATAAGTGTTATGGTCCCAGCAGGAATCGAACCCACGCGTTTTTCGTGGCAATCAAGCATTCTACCATACAGCCACGCCAGGTATCGGAACTGCTTTCGGAACAGACCCTACGCAGGAATAATGTTCGTGAAACGTTAACTGTGGTTGCAGTGTTGGCTATCCAGTTTCATAAACACTACATATGTGACCACACGATACAGCGATCGCATTGGGTTAACGTCACTTGTAGTTAAGCACCATCCACTGAAGTTTAGTTATGTATCCAAGGCCACCATCCTCGCGAGCACAAACGCTAAATATCAGCCTACCACTTTTGTTGTTGCCAATACCCATGTTGGTGTTGGCATCATTACGCAACTGTAAACAAGTTGTATAGAAAAATTGGGGGACCCTTATGCTTCGCGTTTAAGAGTTGCACGCGATAGCGATGTCACGGTCTTAAATGAGCATGTGCCTGTATTCTGTGTAGCGGGTTGCACGCGTAAAAGCTGTCTTTTGAGAGCAAAGGAAGTTATTTTCTCTGTGTTTTCAAGCAGAGATGTGGGTGAGTGGGAGAACAATTGCGGCCGTACATATGGCCTGGTTTCTGTCCTCACTCAGGCCCAGAATTGTTTTTTATTCTTAGTGCGTACTTTTAGTGGATGAAACTGGTGTAAATTTGCTATATGCACCCACTACGTGGCCTTAAGGAAATAGGCGCAGTAGCGTGTGTTCCTTTTGTAGTGAATGACAGGCTCAAAACCCCGAAGCCATAAAGATAATTACATGTTGCGATGGCTGCTGGCAATGGACGCTTGTACCATGCATTATTACTGTAATATTTAATGTTGCATTTTAAAGCATGTATACGGGAAGCGCGTGTGTGTAAAGCATGAAAGCTACTCGCACTGCATTTCCAAGCCGAGTAAATTCTTCTTACTGTGTTCACAAGCAAAGAAGTGGTCGTGTGGATTCTCCTTTCGGCCACGGTTGTGAACGGACGCAGGATGCAGGGCTCCATTGGAGCGGCTACAGCAGCCCTTCAGGGCCGCGGTAACAGGTCAAATGAAGAGTACCAAGTCATTCTGCTTCATCTGCCAACGGGACGCGTTGCCTTGCATGCTGTGTTTTTGCATGGAGACGTTCGAGCGAGACCCTATAGAATTGAAGACTTCAGAGACGCGTTGGGTCCCACTGGAGTGCTATCGGACTTCATTGCACTTGGAGCGTACCAGATTAATCACGTCTGGGTGGTTACACTGACCGGAGAAGACGCGACGAAGAAACTGCTGTCCTTTAAGGAACTTCAGGTGAAGCCTGACACCGGTGTCTTATCGTCGATCCCCAGGACCGGCGGATAAAACTGCGGCTTCATTGGCTGCTTTACGGAGTCACCGATGAGGATGTGCGAATGGCATTTGCGGCCTTCGGCAATGTGGTCGAAGTGAATCGGGAACGCTGGAGAGTCGACTGCGTCAGCGACAAAGGGTCGATGACCAGAACTGCGCTTCTCAAGTCAAAGAGTGGAGTAACGGTTGAGGACATTCCGCATCGAGTACACGTTGCAGGGGAATCGTCCCTAGTCGTGGCGCCGGGCAGGCCTATGCAATGCTTGCGGTGCAAGAGGACCAGTCATGTGCGGCGGGACTGCAGGGTGCCATGGTGTTCAAGTTGTCGGCGATCGGGCATCGAGGCGCCCAGTGCGTCCGGTCAAGCGCTACAACGTGCGATGAGATCGGAGAGCAGACCATGAACGCCGCTGAGCCGGAAGACGCGGCTACGGGGCCAGGAGACGTGGCCAGTTCTCTGGATGAACGTGGGTCGGTTTTGTCTGAAGAGTACGATACAGCGTCTGAACCCGAGGAGAAAGAAACGGCTACGGCGTAGGGCGCTCCGGCTGCTAATCCCACTACCCCTTCTAGAACACTGTAATGGTGGACCTATGCTACAGTCATGGAGGAAGGAAAGTTTCTTTTTCCTTCCTCCATGGCAACAGTGTACTAGAATAACTCATTGCAATTAGCGGAGGGAGCACTGCCTTGCTTCGTGCGTCACAATGAATGGTACGCGAAGCGGTGGCGCTGACGTCAGCCACTCTTTACTGCATATGCTACCTTTAAGTAGCATAGAAAGGTCGCATATACGGTAACTCTACCACTCTTGAAAGCTACCGGTTTTGTGCACACGTGCTTACGCGCGAGGCTTCTCGTTCTGTGTGGTTGTGTTCCATGCGTGCACTCATGTGAACGTGGCCACGTGCGGCAATGAGTAGAAAGCAACGCCTCAATCACTGCTACGCTCCAAGGTGTAGCACGGGGTACGCGCGAACTAACAGCGCGAAGAAGCTGTCGCTATTCAAGGCGCCTGCAGACCCGGAACGCAGATACACGTGGGAAAGAAACCTTCATAGAGCAGACAAGGAGCTGACCGCGGACTGCGCGGTATGTGAATTCCATTTTGAGCAGCGTTTCATTGTCAGGGACTACGTACACTGCGAAAATGGTGAGGAAGTTCGCATTCCACGTGGGACGGCTACGCTCACTTCGGACGCAGTCCCCACAATTTTGCCAAACCTGCCAGCTTACCTGAGCAAGCAGCCCACTCCCAAGAGGAATGAGTGGAAAAGGAAGCGTGATGACGAAGTCACACAACAGAAACAGGCGCGTGGGGAGACTGCGGAGATGACAGATGTTGACTAACCTTCGAATGGCAGTGAAGTCTTTGCTGCCGCGACTCTCACTGCGGTGATGGAAATCGAAATGCCCGGGAAGCGCTGGACGCCGCATGAACTTCATGACGCCGACAGAGTATGTTTTACTTCATGTTTCCTCGACTCGCTTTCAGGCGACGTCACTGTGGATAAAGCCGTGTTCTTCACTGCAAGCAGTGTCGGTGCTTTGCACTAGAAGACGTTCGTGTTGGGTAAGCAGGTGGCTGGAGCTTCATTGACTATTCAAGATGCTGTAACCACTCTGCAGGAAGCCCATGACATGCATATATGTAAAGTGCAGCATTGCGAGATGAAAGCAGTCTCACAACCAACTCTTCAATGAAAT